TTGAACTGCTTGATTCAGATTTTGTCTTCTCTAACAAGACAACACCTGTATTTTACAATCTGCAGTAAATTTAATTAGCTCTATTATTCTCCTTTTTGTTTTAAATGTGTGTAGTTTTAGGTTAAATGTCATTGGATCTTAGCTGGGTGTTAAATTCAAAATCAAAAACCTTAACCGGTAAAAGATGGACTGATTCTTTGACCTAGCTGAGGACTAGAAATAGCAAATAAACCCAGCCCAATCCAGATCACACATTATAAACTTTTTTTTGTTGAGCTTGTTTTAATTTTGCAGAATGCAATATGGTAAGCTTGGAGTTACACAGGAGTTATTATCTGATTTCTTCCTTTCGGGAAGCCTGTGACGTAGGTGTATGCACACATTAATCAGGAAGAAAAGAAATAATAAGGCAAGGCGTTGGTAGGGTTTCCATCACCTTGTCTTATTATTTCTTTTGTTTCTGATGTTCATGCACATTAGAGAGGCATAGCAACAAGCTTGGAAGGCTCCTGAGGTTTGCAGAAATATAAATACAATCCTTGGAAAGAGGTCCTTAAGGGGAGAATCTCAAAAAAAAAAGCCCAGTTAGGACTGAGTTCATGCAATGTTCATCGATTGTTAAAAGTCGAAAACTGTGTGGGCGGAATAAGAAAAAAAAACGAGAGCAGATTTGTTTGGAGAAACTTTGACTTTCCAACAGGTTAAAAGTGTGCAACTTGCTAAAGGTTTCGCAAGGTTAGGATTCAATTAATGATTTCTATGGCTTGGATTCAACCAAAGGTTTCTATGGCTAGGATTCAAACCCTGGTCCCCAGAGTCATCCACCACTGAAACCACTGCAGCAGGCTGACTCTTTCTGAAAAATTTATTTGTTTACTGGCACAACCTGGGGATCACAACCAGACACAGTGAAGACATCCACCCTTGCGCTATGCTACTCTGCTGCTGAGTATGCATGCCCAGTGTGGAACACATCTCACCACGCTAAAACAGTGGATGTGGCTCTTAATGAGACATACCGCATTATCACAGGGTGTCTGCGCCCTACACCACTGGAGAAATTACACTGCTTAGCCAGTATTGCACCACCTGAGATCCGCCGGGAAGTAGCAGCCAATAGTGAAAGGACAAAGGCAGAGACATCTCCAGCTCATCTCTTGTTTGGGCATCAGCCAGCATGCCAACGACTTAAATCAAGAAATAGTTTCCTAAGATCTACAGAGACACTCGCTGAAACACCTCAGCAAGCGAGAGTCCAAAAGTGGCAGGCTCAAACCCAGAGCCTTAATCAATGGCTGATACCCAATGAGAGACTCTCCCCTGGGCACACAGAGGACTGGGCGACTTGGAAGGTGCTGAACAGACTACGCTCTGGCACCACGAGATGCAGAGCCAACCTCAAGAAATGGGGCTACAAAGTGGAATCCACAACATGCGAGTGTGGAGAAGAGCAAACTACAGACCAACTGCTGCAATGCAACATGAGCCCTGCTACATGCACAATGGAGGACCTTCTTGCGGCAACACCAGAAGCACTCCAAGTGGCCAGACACTGGTCAAAGGACATTTAATCAACTACCAAGCTTGCAAACTCTGTGTCTTTTGTATGTTTGTTTGTTTGTTCTGTCAAAAATGTAATACAACTGTTCGGTTGCCTGACACGATAAATAAATAAAAATAAAATTTGTTTATATTCAATGACTCTTTGCACTATTTATTTATTTTTTTACAGCATTTATATTCCACCCTTCTCATCCCAAACGGGACTCCGGGTGGATCATAGAACACATACATGGAAAATATTCAGTGTCATTAAGCAGACAGGGCAGACAACAGACAAAGGTATTATGTCGACTATTTTCCCAACTTCGGCATCCTGGAGGCTGTGCTAGATTCCGGCCACAGGGGGTGCTGTCGTTCCATCCTCTATGACAAAGAGCCCTTGATCACAGACTTCCTCCTTCCTTTGATACTGTACCAGAATTCACCAGATCTGCTGTGGGATGCTTTTGTATGGTTGTCAGTTGCATATCTTTTCTCATTGGCACACTAACTCTATTTTCCATTTCAGCAAGCCTGGGTAGGGCAGTTAGAAGGTTTTGTAGGTGGCAAGGTTCTGCTTGAACCAATGTAGTTCCAATGTAGTTTATGGGATAAAGGGGCAATGTGGAAGGGCCCTCAGTGAATAAATCTGACGTAAGAATCTCCAAGGACTTCCTGACTGTGAGAGCTGTTCAGCAGTGGAACTCTCTGCCTTACAGTGTGGCGGAGGCTTCTTTGGAGCAGATGACTATCCAGCCAACCTTAAGCAGAGGCTGGATAGTCATCTGTCGAGACGCTTTGAATTTAATTTTTCTGCTTCTTGGCGGGGGTTGTACTGGATGGCCCACGAGGTCTCTTCCAACTCTATGATTCTATGATTTGAGTCCTCTGTTTTGTACACTATATTGGTAAAGAAATGATACCATCTGTTTCAATTGTACTGTACTCTACCTTGAGCTGCAAGAAGAGGCAGGGAACAATCGTTGTTGTTGTTGTTGTTGTTTTGTTTCAGTTTTCCATGCTGGCAACCTGATGACTTTTTGTTCACAACATTGTGTGAACCCATTCTCAACCTTCCTGCCTCTTCAAAAACCTTATAGTTATGGCTGGTACATACTTACTTACTTTACTTACTTACTTACTTACTTACTTACTTACTTAGGCAATCCCTCATTTTCCGAGGAGGATTGTCTTCCAATATTCTTGTGGGTCCATATGTGGCTGTGGAACCCTATTCTTGCTCTGCATCTTCTTCCACAGTGAGGGCATTGGTTTCCAGGTGGAAGGCGGTCTCGGTTGGGGATGGCTTGATGCGCCTTCCTCTTGGCACACTTCTCCCTTTTGCCCTCCATTCGTGCCTCTTCAAATGCTGCAGCACTGCTGGTCACAGCTGACCTCCAGCTGGAGCAGTCAAGGGCCAGGGCTTCCCAGTTCTCAGTGTCTATGCCAGAGTTTTTAAGGTTGGCTTTGAGCCCATCTTTAAATCTCTTTTCCTGTCCACCAACATTCCGTTTTCCATTCTTGAGTTCGGAGTAGAGTAGAGCAACTGCTTTGGGAGACGGTGGTCGGGCATCCGGACAATGTGGCCGGTCCAGCGGAGCTGATGGCGGAGGACCATCGCTTCAATGCTGGTGGTCTTTGCTTCTTCAAGCATGCTGATGTTTGTCGGCTGGTACATACTACAATATTTGTTAGGCATAACTTTGGTCGTAAGGCTCACATCCCTTTTGTTTTTTGAAAGGCAAGCTATCCTTATACATCTGCAAATAGAGTTGAAGCGAATAACTGAAGGCAGTGACCTTCTCAAAAAGTCATCCCTGTTCTGTGAGTTTCCAATTCTTTAGGTTGCTTATGTTTCATTACTCATGCTGTGGCCTTGCTGTGTGCTTTGTAACACATTACCAAGTTTTGTGGTGTGTGTTTTATTATCTGATGAAATGGTGATGGTGCCTGACCAATTTAAGTACAGAGAAGGCCACAATGAACACACCTGTCAGGAAAGCTATTGGCTGATGAACATTTGGCATTGAGTGCTAACCAAACACTAATTGTTTTACTTAGAAGCACAGGAATAGGAGAAAGGTCCAAAGTAGGTGAACATTTGGGAAACATGCAATACCTATATGAGAAAATTCTGACACTTCCACTCCCACCCACTATTTAGGAAAAACTAGAAATGCATTTTTTGAATAGATTATCCTAAGATGGACAAACTGCTTTGATCACCTTTATTCTGTCAGTTTTTGTTAAAAGCCAAACATAACAATTATGTGTGATTGCATAAATATTTTCATTCCTCATTGCTTAACTGCAAATTGTTTATCAATACAGCGCTTCATATTGATACGTGTTTTAAACACCCTTCCCTAAAATGTTTGGACATAACATCTATCAATCAATGAAGTCTATTTTGTTTTTTCCATGTCAGAAGTGACTTGAGAAACTGCAAGTTGCTTCCGGTGTGAGAGAATTGGCTGTCTGTAAGGACATTGCCCAGGGGATGCCTGGAGATATATATATATATTGATGGTGTTTTACCATCCTTGTGGGAGGCTTCTCTCATGTCCCTGCATGGGGAGCTGGAGCTGGCAGAGGGAGCTCATCCACACTCTCCCCAGATTCAAACCTCTGACCTATCGGTCTTCAGTCCTGTTGGCACAAGGGTTTAACCCATTGCACCATCGGGGGCTCTGTCTGTTTCGGTTATGTGTTTGCAGACGAGGGATAGGGCCTTCTCGGTGGTGGCCCCGCGACTCTGGAACTCTCTCCCACCGGAGGTCAGAACCGCCCCGTCTATCCTGACATTTAGGAAACGGGTGAAGACGTGGCTATGGAGCCAGGCTTTCGATGAATGAGACAACACCCTAGGATTCTGGATGGAAGATGATGTAGATTTGATTTTAATACGACGACTGACCGCCGTAGTTTTATATATAGTGTTATTTTATATCTGTGACTGTAATTGTGATCTATGACATTTTAATGATTGTATGTGTTTTTATGGTTGGAAACTGGGCTGAGTCCCTCAATGAGGTTGAGAAGCTTGGTATAGAAAACTTTGAAATAAATAAATAAAATAAATAATACTCAGTACTAGTGTGTATCCAAAGAGGGATTTGTATCTTCCTTAAACTGTTTCTTAAAAATGAAATCAACATGAAAAACATTGCACTGCCAAACACAAGGATGGTGACAACGACAACTGCTGCTACTCCTGCTTTTCTACTAGCTTCTTGAACACTGATGGGAAAATATCACACATCAACAAAGCCCCCTCATGTAATTATTAGACAGCAGAGTGTAAGTGAATGAAAATAAATAAGTAGATGTCACAACATTATAACCCAGACTATTCTTCATTTCAGTAATATTTTCAGTAAATTGTGGCATCGACATTAAGGCATTTGAAATTCTTTTGTGCCTGCTTCTAAAATGAGCTTGTTTTAATTGTCTTTCAGGTGAAACCATGCGGATTGCCTCCTCCGAGTTTGCTGATGATCCCTGTTCCTCTGTCAAACGTGGTACGATGGTACGAGCGGCTCGCGCTCTGCTTTCGGCTGTCACCCGCCTGCTCATCCTAGCTGACATGGCAGATGTCATGAGGCTTTTGTCTCACCTGAAAATTGTAAGACTTCCTAAATAGGTTATGCTCATGTCTGGGGAGGTGGTATCGTGGACTACACCGGAAAAGAAGGGCAGCTGAAGCTGGGATCCTATTAGCTCACTATAACAGTGTAGTTACCAATTATTCTGGCAGTTGTGCTTATGCCAGGGTCATATAAAGTTGACATGGAAAGACAGGCAAAGTTGCCACTGCAGTGCCATCAAGCTGTTGTTTCCAAGCATTTCCACGATGCTTGGCTTCCATCATGCCCTAATTCAGGAAGGCAGCCTTGTCAATCATCCAGTGCTATTTTATTAAAATCTTCATGTCCCTTAAGTCATGCACCTTTTGCACCTTTGTTCATTTCTCAGAGGTGAGATGAAAGCAATCTCACCCAGGAAGAAACACCCACGCTTGTATCTGGAACTCCTATATCAATTCTTTAGGACTGGAGTTAAGGCTATCAAGCCATCCATAATCCAGATACTGATTTATTTGAATGCAGAAGTACTTCACAGCAATCACACCATGGAATTATCAATGGTTAGAAAAAGGTGTAAGGACAAAGGTTTGGCGTTAAATTATTTATTTATTTATTTATTTCTGCCGCTTATACCCCGCCCTTCTCACCCCCGAGGGGGGACTCAGGGCGGCTTACAAAAAGAAGGCACAATTCGATGCCCTTATCCAGATACATGCAAATATAAAACAATTACAATAATTAAACAATTAACAGATTAAAACATCAATATATAGCACCATAGCACAACAATAAGCAGTCTCATGGTCAGTGTTTCGCATTCCATAGGTCCAATAGATTTCTTCATTATTTGCCCATCATTATGGTCTTTCTTTTTTAGCTGCCAGAGTTTCCGAAAGCCTGGTCCCACATCCAAGTTTTCAGCTTTTCCTGAATGAGAGAAGGGAGGTCGCTGATCTGATCTCCCCGGGGAGTGAGTTCCACAGGCGCGGTGCCACCACTGAGAAGGCCCTACTCCTCGTCCCCGCCAACCTCACTTGTGACAGTGGCGGGGTCGAGGCAGGGCCTCCCCAGAGATCTTAGAGTTCCGAGGTGGGATGTAGAGGGAGATCCGTTTGGACAGATACACTGGGCCGGAACCGTATAGGGTTTTGTAGGTCAAAACCAGCACCTTGAATTGTGCTCGGAATTGGATCGGCAGCCAGTGGAGCTGGCATAACAGGGGGGTGGTATGCTCCCTGTATGCCGCTCCGGTGAGCAATCTGGCTGCCTCCCGTTGGACTAGTTGAAGTTTCCGAGCAGTCTTCAAAGGCAACCCCACGTAGAGTGCGTTGCAGTAATCCAACCGGGATGTGACAAGAGCGTGGACCACCGTGGCCAGATCCGACTTCCCAAGGTACGGGCGCAGCTGGCGCACAAGTTTTAATTGTGCGAAAGCTCTCCCAGCCACCGCTGAGACCTGGGGTTCCAGGCTCAGCGATGAGTCCAGGATCACTCCCAAGCTGTAAATTAATTCCACTATAAAGTATTGTCCTTCTATCTGACACAACTAACTGCAACTTATAATTTACCTTTTGTGTTCCTAAAGAATGTGCTGCTCCTGCTTTTAAAAACAATTAGTTAGTCTCAAGTTTTCGACAGTCACATTTTATGCTGATAGCACTCTTTGTGTACAGTATATTTAGGAAGACTTTGGTCATACAATGCAGCAACATATTACATGTGGAATATGTGGGTGGCAGGGCTGTAGCCAAGGGGGGTGGGGGGTGGGTTTAGGTTGTTGGCTTCCTGTCTTCTCATTCTGGGTCCATTCAATTCGATTTGAAGGGTTGGTAGCTCTTGTCTTAGTACTTATGTCCATATTTCCATTTTCTTTCTTTCTCCATAAACCTTATTAATAAGTTCCAATCTGATTTTATTGTTGGTTGTTTATTTCTTAATTGGTGGGTCAGGTTGTCTATATTTCTAATTTCCAGCAATGTAATTATCCATTCTTTAATACTTGGAATTTCTTTCCCTCTCCATTAGCAGGCATATCCTATTCATGCTGCTGATATTATATAGTTAAATAAAACATCTTTACTCCTATCCATATTTAAATCTATAATACCTAAGAGAAAATGCTCTGGCTTCAATTGGATCCTAAGTTGGAGAATCTCTTGAGTCACCTTATGAATCTCTTTCCATTTTTTTTTTTTTGCTTTATCACAGCTCCACCAAATATGGTGGAAAGTTCCTCTTTCTTTTTCACATTTCCGACATTTCTCATTAGTATTTTGCTAGTTTTGCCGGGGTATTATACCAACGGCAAAATATTGTGTACCAATTTTCCTGGATATCGTGACGAGAAAATTGATTTAATTAAATCTATATAAAATATAGAATGAAACGTACTATTTAAATTTTTGTGTTATGGAACTACTTCTCATGATTCACTAAAAAAAAAGATATTTCAACCCCCCCCCCCCATTTTTTTTATTTTTTATTTTATTTTTTTTGGCTACGATCCTGGTGGATCAAGATGTGTCCTGACATAGTTGTCATAATTGCTTTGGCTACACACACTGATTGTATGGCCATGATCATGTTGAAATTATATGGACTTGCCTTATATGGCTTCATAGGTATGATCAACACTAGGACAAATTGCATAAATAAAAAGAATAGTAGATAAATTTGTGGAATACCACAAAAGGAGTAGTACCCAAGTCCTATCTGTAGGGATCCACAGGGAGAACAGAACTTTACACTACACACGTCTTATGTATCTCCAAGGGTCTTCTTAGTCCCTTAGTTGTGTTCTTGTATCATGTAGTTTTGTTTTTACCATTTGTTTGCCGCTTTGAGTCCCACCCATGGGAGAAAAGCAGGGTAAAAATCGATATCCATAATAAAAGTTAAAATATGTATGTGTGTGTGGCTGAGGTGTCCATTACACAGACAGGCTTCCACAAATAGCTATAGCTTTCACTATTCAGGAGACACCAATGACCCTTCCTCCAATGACATTGCAGGTTATAGAGACTGCCGTAAACATGTACAAGAGCCCTGCCAATGTCCTCCACAAACACCATGCAACACCACACTGCCCACCACCCAAATGAAGGCTTTCATACATGGACAGTTTCATCATAAATTTTCTATTTCTCCTCCACCACAGACACTCCAGTGTTTCTTACTCTCTCAATTGGTGTGGAATTTGCATGACCCCGCCCACCAGCTCTAACATAACCCTTTCCAATTTGTTTCTATGGCACACAGCGAACACAGGAATTGATCAGCAACTGAACATACTAGAGAGGTTTGGGGAGAATTCACCATGATTTATAGGAGTTGTAGTACTGGGATTTATAGATCACCTGCAATCTAAAACACTCTGAACTCCAACAAAGCTGGAATTGGACCAAACTTGTCACATAGAACCCCCATGACAAGCAAAAAATACTGGAGGTCTTTGGGGAAAGTTTACTTTGATTTGGATGAGATGTAGTTCACCTACATCCAGAGAGCACTGTGAACCCAAACACCAATGGATCTGAACCAAACTTGGCACACATACTTGATATGCTGAAATTTGATTCCTGGAGGAGTTTGGCCAGAACCTGGAGGAGTTTGGCCTTTCTTTCTGGGAGTTGTAGTTCACCCACAACCAGAGAAACAGTGACCTCCACTGATGATGGACTTGGACCAAACTTGGTACACAAAACCCCCATGACTAACTCAACCTACTGGAGGGGTTTGAGGGGACTGACTCACCATAGTGGAGTTGTAGTTTACCCTACAGCCAGAGAGTGCCCTGAACCCCACTAATGATATCTCTAGAGCAAACTTGCCCAAAATAACAAATTTTAAGTATTGATAGAGTTTTTTGTTGTTAACCTGACATGATGTCAGTTATCGTGTCTCCACAACGTTATGAATTTTATATAATTGGGGGGAAAATTGACTTTTTCAAATAACCCGGGCAATGCTGGGTACCCAAGCTAGTAAAGAGTCCCGCAGGGCTCAATACTGTCCCCTATGTTGTTTAACATATACATGAAGCCGTTGGGAGCGATCATCCGGAGTTTTGGGGTGCGATGTCATCTGTACGCAGATGATGTCCAACTCTATCACTCTTTTCCACCTGCCACTAAGGAGGCTGTTCAGGTCATGAACCGGTGCTTGGCCGCTGTCACGGACTGGATGAGGGACAACAGATTGAAACTAAATCCAGACAAGACAGAGGTACTCCTGGTCAGTCGTAAGACCGAACAGGGTACGGGGTTACAGCCAGTGCTGGACGGGGTCACACTCTCCCTAAAAGCACAGGTACGCAGTCTGAGAGTTCTCCTGGATTCATCGCTGAGCCTGGAGCCCCAGGTTTCAGCGGTGGTCAGGGGAGCTTTCGCACAACTAAAACTTGTGCGCCAGCTGCGTCCGTACCTTGGGAGGGCTGACTTGGCCACGGTAGTACACGCTTTGGTTACATCCCGCTTAGATTACTGCAATGCTCTCTACGTGGGGTTGCCTCTGAAGACTGCCCGGAAGCTGCAGCAAGTACAGCGCGCGGCAGCCAGATTACTAACGGGTGCTGGGTACAGGGAGCACACCACTCCGCTGTTACTCGAACTCCACTGGCTGCCGATTAGCTTCCGAGCACAATTCAAAGTGCTGGTGTTAACCTATAAAGCCCTAAACGACTCCGGCCCTGTTTACCTCTCCGAACGTATTCTCCCCTACGAACCATCAAGACCACTAAGATCATCTGGAGGGGCCCTGCTCTCGGTCCCCGCCTGCACAAGCACGGCTGGTGGGGACGAGGGACAGGGCCTTCTCGATGGTGGCCCCTCGACTTTGGAACTCCCTGCCATTAGAGATCAGAACTGCCCCCTCCCTCATGACGTTCAGGAAACTAACAAAGACCTGGTTGTGGAACGCGGCATTTGACAACTGATTTAATTCTTTGCCCACATGAAAGGAGGAGGATGAATGGGATTGTGATGGTGTCGGACGATTTGGCTCTTTTAACTGGGATGATAATGTTTTAATGTGTATGGTG